TTGTTTTTTAGATTCCACATATAAGTGAAATCATATAGCACTTGCCTTTCTCTGTCTGATTTATTTCACGCAGCACAATACCCTCTAGGTCCATCCGTGTCATTGCAGATGGCACGATTTCATTCTTTTTATGGCTGACTCATATTCCATTGTATCTATGCACCGCTTCTTCTTTACCCATTCATCTATTGGTGGACACTTAAGTTGATTCCGTGTCTTGGCTATTGTAAATAATGCCACAGTGAACATATAGATGCATATGTCTTTTTGATTTATTGTTTTGGGTTTCCTCGGATAAATACCCAGAAATGCAATTGCTGGGTCCTTCTTCCTCTCATGTTATAGCCTTTGTTTTAAAGTCTGTTTTGTCTGGTATAAGTATTGCTACCCCAGCTTTTTTCCCTCCATTCTCATAAAATATATTTTAATATTCCTTTACTTTCATTGTGTGTGTGTCCTATTTGAAAGGAGTCTTTTGTAGACAGCATATGTAAGAGTTTTGTTTTCTTACCCATTGAGCCATCCTATGTCTTTTCATTGAAATATTTAATCTATTAGCACTTAAATTAATTGTTGATAGATATGTATTTATCACAATTTTATTATTCATATTTATGATCTTTTTTTTCTTCTTCTTCTTGTTAAAGAAGACCCTTTAACATTTTTTGTAATACTGGTTTGGTGGTGGTGAATTTCTTTAGCTTTTTCTTGTCTCAGAAGCTCTTATCTGTTCTTCAATTTTAAATTATGGCTTTGCTGGTAGAGTAATCTTGGTTACAGGTGGTCCTTGCTTTTTATCAATTTGAATATTTCATGCCAACCCCTTCTGGCCTGCAAAGTTTCTGTTGAGAAATCAGCTGATTATCTTATGGTAGCTCCCTTGTATATAACTGCTTTTCTCTTGCTGCTTTTAAGAGTCTCTATTTGTCTTTAACCTTTGGCATTTTAATTATGATGTATCTTGGTGTGGGCATCTTTGGGTTCCTCCTTTTTGGGACTCTCTGTGCTTCCTGGACTTGTATGTCTATTTCCTACAACAGGTTAGGGAAGTTTTCAGTCATTATTTCTTAAAATAGGTTCTCAATTCCTTTCTCTCTCACCTTCTTGTGGTACCCCTATGATGTGGATGTTGTTATGCTTGATGTTGTCCCAAGATCCCTTATGCTACCCTCATTTTTTAAAATTCTTTTTTCTTTTTGATGCTCTGATTGGGTGTTTTCTGCTACCTTGTCTTCCAAGTTGCTGATTTGGTTCTGTGCTTCATCTAACTTGCTCTTGAAGCCCAGTAATATGTTGTTCATTTCTGATTGGTTCGTTTTTTATTTCTATGCCTTTTTTTATGCTGTTGAAGTTGTCACTAGTTTCTTAGGCATTCTTATAACCATTGTTTTAAACTCTGTATCAGGTAGTTTGCCTGTCTCCCTTGCATGTAGTTCTTTTTCTGGAGATTTCTCCTGTTTTTTCATTTGGGACATGTTTATTTATCTTCCCATTTTGGCTGCCTGTCTGTATGCATTACTATGTAATAGTGATATCTGCTGTTTCCCAGTCTTGTTAGGGTGATCTTATATAGTAAGGGTGCTGTAGGGCCCAGTGGCACAGACTCCCCAGTAACCTAAGTGGGTGCTTTAGGTGCTTCCCCCATATAGGCTGTGGGTGCCCTCCTGTTGTAGCTGAGCTTTGGTTGCTATTTGCATATCAATGGGATGGACTGACCTACAGGCCGATCAGCTACTAGAACAAGCCTCAACTACAGTGAAGGAGCTGCTGTTCAGAGACTGACCCCATGGAGCAGAACTTGTTTCAGTGGGGCTCTGATACAAGTCGAGTCCACCACTTGAGTGTGTTGCTCATGGAAATGTGATGCTCTGGCATAGTCTGAAGCTGGCCACCTGGTGTGCTGGCTCTGAGGCCTCCTGGGAGGTACAGGCCAAGGTCAGCTGCTGTCTGCGCTCTGCCTAGGGCCACCCAGCAAGAGCTGCAAGGTGATCAGCAGGTGACTGCTACTTGTGCTGCGCTTGGAGGTGCCCAGGAAAGGCAAGGTGTAAACAAAGATCTAGTACCGGGCCTGGGGTCATTTAGCAAAAGGTATACACGGAGGCCAGATGTCGCTTGTTTGGGGTCTGTGAAGTTTTTAGAGAATTTAGGAAAGTCAGTGGCATGAGCCAAGACCTACCATTTGTATGGACAAGCTACCAGAAGCAGCTTGGGTGGGACCTCATATTGGGTGGGACAGTTCTCAGGGAATCATCAGGGCAGGGGGAACAGTGTTAGTGAGGTTGATGGAGACTCAGATGTAGTGCCAGCCTGTGCCTGGAAGAGGAGGGCTCACCAAAGGAACAGTGGCTTCTGCCAGCACTTTTGTCTGTGAGAAGGCTGCCCTCTAGTCTCTTGCCAGAAAATTCAGTTCTTTCCTATATGTTCCTGGCACCTTCTGAGCTCAGAGTGAGCGAGTCCAAGCAAGTCTGTGCAGAGGCCCTTAAGAGGAAGACCTGGGACTCCAGAAGCTCCCTGTCTTACTCAGCCACAATCTTTGCTGGTTTTCACAACCAGAAGTTATGGGGAATTCCCTTCCTGGCACTGGAACCCTGGGTTGGAGCGCCCAGCATGGGGTTGAGACCTTGGCTCTGAGGCCCCTTGCTCCTCCCGATATTTAACTGCCACGCGGGTGGGCATGGGACCAGCTGGGTTCCTCTTCTGTCCCCCTCCTACCAGACTCTGCATGGCTTCTGTATAACATTAGTTATAAGACTTCTGTTCAGCTAGGTTTCAAGTGTTCTGAATGATGGTTCTATAGTTTCTTGGAAATTTTGATTGGTGTGGGATGATGCCAGTACCACGTTTACCTGCTCTGCCATCCTGACCGAAGCCTCTTGTTCACCAAATTCTTTAGTGAGTGATATGGAAAAGTCACTTCTCTGGGCAACTTTACTCATCATTTCATGTTCATTCATTGGATTTGGGACTATAAAGAAAAAGGTCTCAGCAAGAGGAAGACAAATAACTCAATTAAAAAATGGGCAAAGGACCTGAATAGATACTTCTCCAAAGAGGACATACGGATGGCGAAGAGACATATGAAAAAATGCTCAACATCGCTAATCATCAGAGAGATGCAAATTAAAACCACAATGAGGTATCACTTCACACCTGTCAGAAGGGCTCCATCAACAAATGAACAAACATGTGCTGGCAAGGGTGTGGAGAAAGGGGAACCCTGGTGCACTGCTGGTGGGAATGCAGACTGGTGCAGATACTATGGAAAACAGTATGGAGACTCCTCAAAAAGTTAAATATGGAACTGCCATTTGACCCAGTGATCCCACTTCTAGGAATATATCCTAAGAAACCTGAAGCACCAAGCAGAAAGAATATATACACCTCTATGTTCATAGCAGCTCAATTTACAGTAGCTAAGATCTGGAAACAGCCCAAGTGCCCATCAGTAGATGAGTGGATAAAAAAGCTGTGGGATATTTACACCATGGAATACTATCAGCTGTAAGGAAGAAGGATCTCATACCCTCTGGGACAGTATGGATGGACCTGGAGAATATTATGCTAAGCGAAATAAGCCAGGGAGAGAAAGACAAACATCACATGATCTAGCTTATATGTGGAATCTAAAGAACTTAATAAACTGATGAACAGAATAGATTCAATGACATGGAAGCATGGATCAGACTGACGAATGTCAGAGGGATGGAGGAAGGCGAATGGATGGAGGGGGAGAGAGTAACCAAGGAATTTATAGGCAGATATGCACAACCCAAGGACACAGACAATGGTGGGGAGAGGGACTGGGGCAGGGGTGGGACGGGGTGGAACGGGTCATTGGGGAGAAAAAGGGACATCTGTAATATTTTAAACAAAAATAAAAATAAATAAGCAAATAAATAAGTAAATATATAAATAAATAAAAAATATAAAAAAAGGTCAAGGTTCCTGACCTGGAGGAAGTCTCTCAGTCCCTGGGCATGGTGTGCCCACTATCAGCAAGCAAGCCCAGGGGGCCTTATTTAATAAGAAAGGGGTGCATAATCGTTTCCCTTAGTCTAAAATTATGTTTCTACCCAAATGCCCTAAATCAACGAGCATAACCAACCATACGAGTTCAGCTAATGAACTAGGAGCAAGCTTCTGACTGGTCTGATGTGATTTCACACGATCCCCGCGCTGCCTTGCCAGCCCTTTGGGGGACCCCTGAAGCTGGCTTGCGCCAGCTCGCCCCGAAGGAGGCTGTGCTGGCGTTCTGCAAGTTTATCATTACGCTCAGTGTTCGTGTGTGGGGCTGAGTGGGGAGGAAGACGGCCACTAATTATGGAGTTTCACTCGAGAGAGCCTGCTAGGCTTTACGTAGCAGGAACACGAGAAGCGGACAGAGCTCTCCTCGTTTTAAAATAAAAGTCGCACGGAGTTCCCGGCCGTCGGGGACGAGGGGCGGCCCTGGCGCCCCGGGGGACGCGGGCGGGCCTGGGCACCCG